TAGGTTAAGAGTAAAACAGGAACTTTATGTTCCAGATGTCAGGTGTCACCAATGCTGAACAAAAGGAGAGAATTGCTTCCCGCGCTTTCAATGTGACACCGTTACATATAAAACCTATTATTACTTTTTTATCATTTACGTGAATAGTTCATACACAGAGTTTCAGGCTCAATGTTTCATTATACTGGTCACATTGCTGCTGTTTGAAGGAACATACCAAAATATGAGGAAAGAAAGACAAATCACATCGCAGTCTTTGCAGGAATAAAACAGCTGGCGTGAAACTCAAGCACTGGATCCTGATGACTTGCAACCTACCGAGAGGAGTTCTTGGCAGAACTCCATTTGAAGAGGAAGTTGAGTTATATTTCAGCTTTTAACTAAATTATCTTGAAGTCTATAGTTAAAATTGCTTAGTGTGTCTTGGATAAGTGCTACAAGAAACTACAAGACCGTTTGACTGCAGGAAACGCAATGAAGGAAGCACACAGTGAGTGTGCAAGGTCATGTGACAAACACCCGTGCCTAGAAAGGGGTAAAATGGCATCGAAACTCACTGCTGCCTCCAAGCACCTCTTAGGTACTTGGTCAACTTTGGCGCAGGCATGCATCTAAGGTCATACTTTTGAATTAAGTCATTTCCAGGATATAAAAAAAAAAACTGTGAATCATGCCATCACCGTTACCTCCAGAAGTGATGCGACTGAATCAAAGCGTGCAAAAAAAGAAATCACAAAGAAATGCGACTTCTAGTGAAGAGTTTTCTGGAATTACACCTCTTCTGGGTATTGCCTGGAAAGGATTCCTGCTTAAGCCAGGAGAAGAAATAAAGTTAGAGTCTCCACATTTTCCAAATACACAAACTTTTCAAGCCCGCTACTGCTGTTGTGATGCTTTGATAGTCCAGAAAACTGGGGTTGCAGAGATTGGGGGCGGGGGAGAATGTTTCAGAAGACATTAGAGAAAAAGACCCCAGTTCTTGAAAATATGTTTTAATGGCCTGTGAAGGTCTCAAAGTCCTTGAGAAAAATAAATTCATTTTATCCTCTTGTGTCATCTCACAGTCCTTCATATGGAGTCTGTGACCAATTGTTATCTTTCTCATAATTTTAAGGCAGTGGTGTTATTTTGCAGGCAGCGCATGATAAATAAATTATCTAAAATAGGTTTTACAAGACATGTCATGGGATGTCTAAAGACAAAGGCAAGCTTCTAGCCTAGTGGAGTGCTTTTTCTACTAAACTGAGGGCCCAGCTCAGCTACAAAACACAGATCTTTGACGTTCCTTCAAATGTGGCATTAGTTCTTTCCTGGTTTTTCTCGAGGTGATTCATGCAGTGTTTGTCTGTCTCAGTGGAAAAGTTCCAAGTAAGAGCAGAATTCATATTTCTTGTCGTAGATTTACTTTGTGTATGTCTGGGGAGAGAGAGGTTTGATTGCCGGTATCTGGATATTGCTTTCCTTTTGTGGGGAGGGCGTTGAAGGTGGCAGGGTAAGTGAGCCCAGTGACTGGCATTGATTGGGATTGCTACCCTCACTGGTCAGATGGTTTTTTATTGCCTTTCAGAGTCAATTAAGAATCAAGCTCAGTCTTGGTATTTTTGCCAAAATAGCATTTTTATTTGAATTTGCTCTATGACGTTTCGTGAATGAAAAGGCCTTAAATACAAATACTATCGTGCTTCTTCCAGTATAGCTCCAAATCAACCTATGGAGAATTTCATTAGCTGAAACTTTTTTTTTTCTCTCCTCATTTTTAGTGACGTTGACGCTTGAGGTTAAGACTCGTTTAACTCGGCTATCTCAGTGTAAGGTTTCCACTCAAAGTCGCTTTGACAAGAGGAACGCTACATTTGCAGAGAGCCGTTCAGCGTGCTTACAAACACCTCCCCTGGGCTGGGGTGAAGTAGTCTGGCAGGGCCAGACTCTCTTCTCTCCCAGCAGTGGGGTTCAGATGATGAACACAACTTTCAGAGAATAAAGCTGGTTGAGGTGAATCCTGCTCTTAGGGGTTGCAGACTTTATTTAGAATCTGCGTGCGATTTGTCACATCCATAAGTAGACATTTAAAATAGGCATTCTGGGGGGGGAAATCTTGTGACCACCTTCATACTTCACTGAACGTGAAGAGAGCCTGGAGTGATTAGCTCCGATAAAGACGTTACACTGTGCATATCCACAGTAAAGTCATTTTGGCAAAAATGGAGAGTTTTGCTTAGTTTGTTTTTTCTGAGTATCTCACATATCACACCTTTCAGCGCTAAGTAGGCGAGTGCTTTACAAACTGAGTGTTATTATCACTATTATCACCTTAATTTTACAGATGGAGATGCTAAGGATGAGGTGGTTATCCTTCTCCAGTGAGCTGGAGAACTCTTGCAATGAGTTAAAGCTATCACAGCTAGCGTTTCAGTCGCCAGCCCCATATTTCTCTGTTTTTCTCCTAGTGTTTTGGCGCTGAGACCAGGTTTTCTCAGACTTGGAAACGCAATGCGTTATTTCACTCAACAGTTTTTTTGTTTCAGGATGTTTTGGTTTTTCTTTTTTTTTTTGGTTTTGGGGATTTTTTTTTTAAAGTAGATCACTAAGCTTAGGAAGAACCTGATATACATTGAAAGATGTCGCCTGTCTTCCTGCTGCTGCAGAAGTAGCTAATCTGTTTTAAGTCTTGAATCTGCTGAAATTATTGCTCGCACTCCGGCCAACATCGATTGCACTAAGATTTTGCTCTGTCTTCATTCAGTTTTTCATAGAATTGGAGTTTTAGTAAAAACAAAAAATATTGGTACTTTTGCATTGTAAAGATTCCTTGCAAATAAGTCAGTGAACTGTTTTCCTGTTAGTCCGGCCTTACAGCATTTCAGCTAGACACCAGCAGAAATGAGAAGTAGGAGCTTCATGTCAGTGGGCTGTGAAGTCTGCTCTCCAGCACATTGTTTACCTCATGAAAGTGCTAATTTCAGCACTTATTTTTGGAACACTTTATGTGGAATTTATTAAGCGCAGGCAATGTCGAGGCAATTCTGAAAATCCTCTTGGGGTACTAAGATGCAAAACTGTACCCAAAGGGAAAGTTGCGGTGCTTATTTTATGTTAGACAAATCTTTACATGGATTTTAAAATTTCCGATTTTATTTTTAGTTGTGCAGACATTGTCACTTCTGTTAAAGAATTGTTTTATTTTAGGAACGCAGGGTCACAAGAAGCTTCAGAATTCAGCGCGCCACCTCAGCAGTCGCTCTCTCCTGTGGCTTTATCCTTTTATAAAAAGATCAAGTTTCTCTTTCAAAATAGGTAGACTATTTTATCCCTGCTGCTTCTGGGAAGACTGTTCCAGAGTGCCACTGCTAAAACCACCTTCTACATACCAGTCTGTATTTATTTATCAGCAGTTTAAATCCGTTTTTTTCTTATGCCAACATTTTAATACCCAGATGTTTGCCCTCCTAGTACCTGTAGTTAAAAACTCTTGTGTAGGTGAGTTGCAAAGGACCAAATTCACATCCCACAGCACCTTCCTCTCGCCAGATCTGCCTCCCCGTGCTGTCCGCCCGTGTAACTCGTTGTATAGTGGCTCCTTCTGTAGAAATGAGCAGATTCTACCTTATCGTAAGTGTTTTAGGCTAACCTTTAAATTTATACCTTAAATTTGGACACACTGGGATACGTGGAGAAAGACAATTTTTTAAGACAATGTAAACTGCAAGACAAAATTAAATTTCTGAGAAACTATTTACAGCGAAAATGTTATTTTTACAAATCCCTTTTATATGTGGCGAGGATGTAGCATAAGCCAGAAATATTGGGTCCTGTAAAATTCATATGAAACAAGCAGCTGTCATAACTGAACAAGAAGTGAACTAAGGCCTGCCCTGTTTCCTTGAGGCCCTGTAAAAGATGGGGATACTCTTGCTTTCGTTGTACAGGAGTATTTTCGTGGTTTTGAGGTAGCTCTGACAATCTGATAATGTCCCCAAATGAATCTGATGTGTGGGCATTCATAAAGTACCCCAGGGTGAATGGCGAATACCTCTTTGGCATTACTGCAGAAAATTCGTTCACAGAACGGGAATTAAGAGGGTTGTGCTGTAGGAGCTCGTTTCTAAATAACATCCTGTGGCCCCCATGTTACGTCGTAGTTGAAGTTCAGCTGGGAAAATAGCGGTCTTTCAGTTGATTTGCGTTTTCAATGAGGAAATATGGCACTGGACCAGATTTGTCCTATCTACCTTGGTGTTACTCTAGGTGCTTTTGCACAACACGTCCGGCAGTGGAGAGACCAGCTGATCTCTAGGCAATGCTTGCTGGATACAAGATACACGTTATTTTTTCTTCATATGTTCCATGAGTTTAGGGATTTGTTTTTGTCTGTTTCTGCCCTTGCTCAGAATGAGTGTTTCGGCAAAGAGAATTTACAGAGGGTGCTTTATGTCTGATTAATCTTAACCAATTCAAATGTCAGGAATACAGATGTTAGTAGAACAGAATCCTGGAATAATTGTATCCCGCTGCTCCCTACACTTAGCAGCAAGTGTGTCCTTAGCAGGGACACAAGGTATGAAAATTATGAGAGGGCATTTTATTTTATTTTATTTTATTTTTAGTGAGAAGCAGCATGGAGAACATACAGAGGATGAACAGCAAACAACTAACTGGGACTTGGGCAAGCAAAACATTTTTATTCTTTAATTACGGTGATTAACCTTTTTTCCTGAAATATTATTGGTTTGCTCACTAGTTTATAAATATAAGTACCATCTTCAGCAATTAGTTGTGCAACTGAGTAAATTTGCCTGGTTAGTGAAGTTCATCTAATTATGGAGTATAAAGTTACCACTCTTCTGCAAAGCATTCATTCACCTGAAGTGCCTCTAAAAATACAAATTGGTTGGTAAAGATGGTCTCTGCTGTCCAGGTTTCACTGTATTCTTCTGGTGATATTGTCTACTGTTGGTGGTATACATCTTGTTTTTTTTTTCCCTTGTGTTTTATTTAGATTGCTCACGTTGTGGCTGCAGTTTACTTGCAAGATACCAACCAAACACTAATATTTGGATAGACTCTTGGCTACGTACAGTTCCTCACCCAGGATGCCTTTCAAAGCTGGATTAGAACTGACTGAATTGCAGAATATGACTGTTCCTGAAGATGATAACATCAGCAATGATTCAAATGATTTCACAGAGGTGGAAAATGGCCAGATAAATAGGTGAGTATTTTTCCACTGACGCCGCCATTGCTAAGAAACACGCTATTTAAAAACAGCATTCTAATTTTCAGTATATGTATTGAATTATTCATTACTAAGTCATGCTCCATTTGAAGATGTAATTTGAATTTCATATGTGACATCTGTTGGGCATAGGCTGCAACAGCAGATAAAGCAAACAGAGTGGCAATTTATTCATCATTTTGAATCTTTCAAATTAGTCTAATACAGTGCACAAACATATAACGTAGGAAAAAGCCAACATTTTGAAATGTCTGTTTACATACAGGAAAGAAGTAATAATAATAAATACAATTAGACCAACAGAATAATTTTGGACAAATCACTTTGTTGACCTTTGACCTCTAGTATTACGGTTTTGACTCGCCTGGCCGCAGCCGTGTATTCCAAGCTTCAGGGAATTCACAGCTTGCGTTGCTGGCAGGAGAAGTTGTTCCAGGCCACATTCGCAAGCCAGCGAGATAACCTGTGCCGTGGCCGTTGCTCTCGAAGACAATGCAAGCAAGAAGCTGCTGAAGGAGAAACTTTACCTAACTGAGGTCACATTTCAAAAATACCTCTATTTGTCAGTTTCAGTAAAAATCAGTATGTGCTTGTAAATAATAGACCGTTGACTTGCTTTCTCTTTCTATGAGCTTTTTGTTAATTTTAAGAACAACCTGTCTCGCATTACAGCAGTCCTTCCAGCCTTTCTGTCAGCTAGCAGTGTCCAACAGGTGTGGGACTGTGTCATGTTTATAGCAAAGACCTGCTGATGTTCAGCGTTTGCCTTCTGTGAGCTCTAAAACAAGAAGCTGTTTTCCTATCAAACTTCCTGTTCAAATATTGCAAACGGAGGTGGAGTATGAAGGTTTCTGTTCAGGGATCCAGGTACTTGTGCTAGTAAGGAAGCCGGTGCCTGCACATAATCCTGTTTATTTACTGCAGCGCTGTGGACTGCTACTGCCAGTGTTTGTGATCTTTTAAAAACCTGAACCAACCCTTTCCTCTTGCCCTTTCTTCCTTTTGGCAGCAGCTTTCAGTGGGCTTCTGGCTACTCAGTGAAACGCAGCTTCTAGTGTAAAAATGCAATTCTGAGCATTTTTTTCGCAAGCAAGGGTGCAGTTCTGTGGCAGGGGCCGAGCAGCTGCAGGCTGCCTGGCGCTCCTGGGCCCTGCACCGCCGGGCAGGTCACGCTCTGTTAAGGGGAAGTCCTGGGGCAGTTACCAGCTGCGAGATTTAGTAATGTGACCGCACTGCAGCTGCACTGATGAAGATTAGAACTGGGCAGGAATTTTCTGATGCAACTTCTTTGATGGAAAGTGCCAACATGAAACACCAGCCACTTCTGTAAAAATAAATAAATAAATGAAACAAATGAAATAAAAGAATAAATAATGATTGACAAGAAAGACCTCCAACTTTGCCAAAACAAAATATGAACCTGCTGGCTTTTCTACTGGTTCACTTCATAAGGTGAGGAGTTTAGGAAGCGGTAGCGGGAAGCGCGCTCCCCTGAGCCGGGCGAGGATTTGTACCCATGACAGGAGAAGGAGCGGCTGGGCTGGGCTGGCTGTGCCTCGGCGACTCTGGCCCCTGCCACAAGTAGATGTTATGGGGCAAAACCTTGGTAGTGCTTCATTTTTCAGTGAATGTTTGTGGAGGGTAGGGAAGGAGAGCGCCATATATGCTTAATCTTTGACAGTCAAGGTGTGCATTGAGGAGTTAGGGCATGGTGAGCGTGGAGATGTCCCAGTACCCTACCTGCAAAAGCAAGAAGAAAAGTGGGTGAGGAAGAGTGTCAGAAACTTTGACAGGATTTCTAATTACTTTTTTGGCTGTTAGGGTAGACAGAAGCGTTCCACAATTTCCATTCCCTTCTGGGCGATTCTTTTTCCTTTGCGAAGCATCTCTTGGTTATAGGAAGTAGCCTGTTAAGGTTATCTATCATCTGCCTGCTGGGCCGCTCACTAGATAGCTACTCACTCATGCCTACTAGGTAGTAGTATTTTGTCCTAAATGTGCAATGCATTCACATTGATATCCACCTTAAAACCAAGAGTTTCAAGGCTGTTTTTACCAGCTGTGGCCTGCCTGGGCGGCAGCACGTTGGCACCAGCACAGCTTCCCTTGCAGCCGGGGCCAAAGGACCCTTCGTGCCCGTGCAAGCTCTCATCCAGCATGTGTGAGTGCCTCAATGCCCGCAAGGGCAATGAGCAGACAGGTAGACCCTGTTCTGCTCCCGTGCCCAAACACTACCTGAAAGGATATAGTCATTCTCTTTCTGGGACTATTTTGGTGAATGCTCTCTCTCTGAGGAATAAGAGGTTAGTCGGTGCACGAAAGAGCATTTTTTGTGCTGTCTGACACATGGTGTAAGGCTAGTGAAACTCCACAGTCTGTTAAAAGCAGTGGGACTTTTTTTGTTGATTTCACTTGAGCTTTAGATTAGATCTGTAATTTTCAACTAACTTTTTTTAGTTGTTTCAACTTGTCTGATTTTGCACTGTTTCAATTTTAAACCTGTTTCTTTTCCCAGTACATAGTTTACCATGTTCAATGCAAGTCAGAGGTTTTAAGGGTCTTTTGGGGAAGATATACCAGTGAGGAGCTGATTCCAGGCCTGTGTTTAAAGCTCAAACATTTCCAGATCTTAGGGAAAAAAATTTTCTAGTTTCTTTTGGATTTCCAGCCTGTATGTAGGCCTATATATAAGGTTATATATACCACTGGGAGGGAGTGTTGGTTTGGGTCAATTATATTGGGAAGGGGTTCTCTTTGTATATGCAAATGTTAAATTTCTTCTGGAAGTGAAGAAGAAACTTGCATCAAATCCAGACATCCCCGTCTTGGTGTGCTGTTAACTAGGTATCCTGGGTATACAACTTTGCTATCTCTGAGCATGACTGTAAACCAGTGTTTAGATGACCTACTGCTTTGCGTGACAGGACAAAATCTGTTCAGCTGGTCATCATCAAATTTATATGTATAACAGTGATTAAACTCTCAGCCAGCAGCTAGCATGATACTGAATGTTTGTCTTGGTTTACAGCTGCTGGTAGATTAGCAGCAATCCTTGTTCAGCTAACAAGGCTGTTTGTAGGTATACCCAAATGTGGTAGAAGTTTCCCAGTGTAAGCGAGACCAAAATTTCTTTTACATTTCTTGTTCCTGCTTGCCTTGGAAATCTTTGCTGTTGCTCAAGCTACAGCTCAGTTTAGGAAGATGCCTAAGGATAGAGGTCTGTCATCTTGGCAAAACTAGATTTCGCTAACAAATGTTTAAGGCATTGTCAAATACCACTTTAAGTTAATTATGTTTAAATATATCTGAGATAGCTAAATGGTTTTAAGCAAAATGGTTAACTCAGCACCTTTATGAGACATTTCTCATATAAGTAAGTCCTTTAATAAATTTAATTCTGAAACCATAGTTAAACATGGTCTTTTTAAAGCCACTTTGCTAATAAGACTCATTTTCTACCTTGCACTAAATGAAACAAGAAAAAGAATTAGACTAACAGATTTTCTGTAAGCCAAGTATGAGGATGAACTCATCACAAGGATGAGCTGATTATTTTTGGCCAGGATGTTCTTTTATAAACATATCTGAGAAGTTTAGTATAAACTCTTCATACTCAGCTGTGATATGTGAAATGCGACTAGAAAGCAGAAGTACACAAGAACAGGTTATGTCTTTTGATGATGAATAAACTGTTTGCAATGAAGACAACAACAGCAACAGCACAAATGGATTTCATGCTTGTCGGGGAGTCACAAAGCTTTAATGACATGGACCGTCCTATTGTGCGTTTCTACAGCACCTCTCACAGTGGCCTCTAGTCCTTGTGAGGGTTGAGAGAATATGGAGCAAATAATTGTTTCACTTCTTTCCTGTCATATTTATAAAGATCAAATATGCAGCATTCTGTGACAGTGAATAGTCCAGTTTCTCAGAACATCTGTTAAACAGCGCAGATGCATGTAAAGGTTTAACTAGAAATTCCAGTATTGCAACATATGTTCCCTTTCATATTGTAGGAGAAAAATACCCTGGAATGAAAAAGTTTAATGTTCATAAAAAGCAAAATCTTGGGAAAATTTTTTTGTTGAATTTGCTGGACTGCCTTCCTCCCCTTTTTTCTGTTTTTAGTTTTTTTTTTTTTTTAGTTCAGTAATACATTCCACTTATGGAAAACTTATGGTGTCATACAGCATGTCTGTACCACCTACTGAGCGTGGTCCCGAGGCAACCTTCTCGTCTGGACTTGCAGATTATGTTGACTGCAGTAATGAATGTGGCCACAGCTGGAGTGCAGCCTCGAGACCAGGCGGTCTCCTGTGCACCCCACAACTGCATTGCTGCTGAGCTTTCCGCATAAGCAGTCCTGTGGCTGGGAGGCACTCTCTGAAAAAGCTACGCCCATTGCTATGTCCCTCTTAGAAGTCATGATTTGGATGGCTGGTGGCCCTGTTCACACATACAAGCCACAGTCCTTTGTCTGACGTTTGTCTTTCAGTCCACATCACACGGCACAAATGGAGAAAAATCTGCAGTGTGACGTGGGAAATGTGGCATGGGTGAGCAGCCCAGCTTATCACAGGAGAAGAGAGGCTGGACAGCAGGTCCAATCCAGTTTAATGTAGGACTAATTCAAAACAGTACTTTGGATCAATTTATGAAATCAGATTAGTTTTTTCAAGCTCAATCCAGAAAGAAATAAGTTGTTGGTGCAGAAAACACTGATTCTGGAGAAGCCATTTTTTCCCCTCAAAAATATTTTGCTTAAAAATTCCAAGGTGGCTTCATATTTGAGCAGTATGATTCAAGTATTGTCTTTATCATTGTAAACTCTTTGCCAATAATTTTCATTGAACTTCAGTACCAAGCAGCAATAAGAATAGTATCTACAACATTACTATTTCTGTAATTATTAAGCAGGAGCTAAATAACTTGGAATGAGCAGAAAGGGGAGGAGAGGAACAGACTAGTTGCTTCTGTTGTAACTGACAAAATCTAAAATGACACAGGATCTCCATAAATGACAGAAGAAGGCAAAGTCCACAGATGTTCCCAGCAGCACTTCAAAATCGAAAGGAGACAAAACTCTTCTCTTTGCTCCTGACTGTAAAATTGCCTGCAGGGTATTTCACAAGAGAGCTGGAATGTCTTTTTCAAACTGTTCACACTCAGCTGCCTATATTCAAGAGATGAGCTTTAAACAGAAATGAAAAGAAAATATGCAAGCTCTGAAGCTGTAGAAGACCAGTTTGAGGTTTTATTCCATGAGGGTAAGCTACCTATGCGGTGAACTTCAGAAAGTTAATTTTGGATCAGTCTACCATAGAAGTGGTTGCTTTTCACTTCTTACGACAGTGGAGGAGGTTCAGTCATCCCTTCCGACTTCTTTAGGACTGCTAAACCTTTAGGACTGGATGTCTGTGTGTTGCAGCAAATTAACTTCTAAAGTTAATAGTTGAAAAAATACAGGAGGAATCTGTAGGTGGTTGTTACCTATATGAAGACAGTCAAAGCAGACTGATGGGTAGGAGTCAAGTTTGCAACAAAAGCAGCAGTAATACTATACTTATTGACAGATTTTTCCAAGTTTAAGGGATAAACTCCAAATGGAAGTACAGAGTAGAGAAAGGTCAGACTTCTAAAGACATTTGCTATTAAGGATGTTTGCCTTTATATCTAAAGACTGTGCACAAGGAACTTTATGAAAAAAATGTTGAAGACACAGGGCCCAATGTGTCAGCTGTGGAAACTGAATCAGTAGCATTACAACTGTATCAATTTGGCATAAACTTAGAAACCCTGTTCTCATACATTGCTAGTAGTTAGGTCAGAACCAGGGTAGTAAGGAATTTTGACAGAGCTTTATATTTATGAATTCCCTGTCTTATTACCAGCCTGAATATCCTTGGCTGCGTTGAAGTAAGACATAGTCTGAGTCAGAGTGTGACCTGTGTGTCCCTAGCCAGGGGACAGTCCCAGCTGTGGGAAGAGGCCAGTAGGGCTGTTCTTTACGTAAAACAAACCACAGGGTTTAGTTTATTGTTTGTTTTCATTTAAGAAGAGCCACCTTAATTTATCTGCAGCAAAAAGGGTCTCCGAAACTCGGTGACAGCCGCTGGCTAGGAAGGTAGTGCATGTAGCGGCTGATGCAATAGCCCCGGCCTCAGAACCGTCTGTAAATTAACAAAGGTGCCGGGGACTTGCTTTTGCATAAGCCTTCAAAAGCTGAAAAGTCAAGCGAACGCAAACTAAAACATTCGCTGAAGACAGGATCTGGGAGAAAATAACACCAACCCAGATCAGAAGCGTCATAAATGCCAAGGAGGCAGAAACACAGAGGCAGGAGGCAAATCTTGCTCTGGCGACAGCGAGTTCCTGAGGGGTACGTCTCAAGGACGAAGCACAAGTAACGACTGCCGAGAAGGAAAAGCTTTTACTCCGTGCTTGCCAGCACAGAAGTGTTTAATTCCGCAGTCTGGTGAATTTAATACTTGGATTTTCAAAGACCCTCTAATGAAAAAGTAGTAGTCCAGAGCTTCCAGTATCTTGACAGAGCCTGCCGTTGAGCTCAGGATGGCCCCAGGCAGTGGTGGCTGCGGGCAGCACTTCTTCCTCCTTTTAACTCTAGCCTGGTCAACTCACGGGTGGTAACTGGAGGGTTTCAGTACCCAGGTGCTACAGCCGCCTTCCCACAGGCTCATCCCGATGTTGGACGCCCTCCGGCTCGGTGACTGGCGAGGGCTGCAGCGCGCCGAGAAAACGAACAGTGTGGCTGGGCGCCAGCTTTGTAGCTAAGGTCCGGTGGTGGCCACACCTCTGCGGGGTACCTGGATAAGTCCGTTAACAGGGCCCTGTTAATGTCTGTGCAAATTCATCGTCTTCCGCTTCGCAAAATGAGTGCTTTTGCTTTGCTAAATCTCCTGAAGTACCATTCTATATACATTCATTCTGATCTTGTGCTAGTGTTACCTTTATTGGTGCCCAATGTAAGCTCGTGTAAGTGAAGCATGAGCTGGCTCATTAATAGTTATGAGTTTGACCTCTTTTCTCATCCAGCTTTTATACATTGCATATTTTGTAATTACATGCTGCTCATAGAATTAACGTGTTTGCATTTTATAAACACTCCTGCTGGAAATAAATCCTCTCACCTCTTTCAGCAAGTTTATTTCGGATCGCGAAAGCAGAAGAAGTCTTACAAACAGTCACCTGGAAAAAAAGAAATGTGATGAATATGTAAGTGGCTCTCGCTGTTATTTTCTCTGTCAAAATGAACTATATATTGTGTATATGCACAGCCTTTAGATGTGGTCTTCAGAAGTGCTGAACACACACAATTATAGCTGAAATTCAAGTTCCAGTAGGAACTGCTCATGCTCAGCACTTTAAAAAAAAAAAAAACAAATAAAAATAAACACCAAAAAAATCAAGCGTTTTGGTCCAGTTCAGTCAAGGGAGGTCCTCTTTGCCTTTGTTAGGCAGGAAGTCATGGTGGTTCCTTATGGCTTTACAGTGTATAAATTGTGCCTAAGATGTTTCACAAACATAGTGAAAGATGGATTTTCAAACTGGAAGTGTACTATGATTTATATATTGCCTGTACCATTTATGTCAGCTTACACAGTCTATAAACAGTGATCAGAATGTAGCTATGAGAAAGTTCAGTGACACCTTTTCTCTTTCAATCCTTGCACTTCTTTATTGATTTGTTTCCGTAGCAGTAGCTACTTATGTTTGATACATCAAAAATATTGCAGTTCAAAGTACAGATGCATTTCTCTGCTGTGTTCCAAACTGTTACTTATATGTATATTTTTCATTTCTTCAGATTCCAGGAACTACTTCACTGGGAATGTCTGTCTTTAATCTCAGCAATGCTATTATGGGCAGTGGAATTTTAGGCCTTGCTTTTGCATTGGCCAACACAGGAATTCTCCTTTTTTTGTAAGTATCTGTGTGCTAAGTAGCAGGTCTCTGTGCAATTTCATTGTGTTTAAAGAATACGTGCACTGCAAGCAAGTGAGGTGATTTATAGTCCATTTAAAATGTGAAGTGCTTTTTTACTTCACTGTAACCAAACTGTATAAATAGCTTGGATTTCAGAGAACTGATGGATAGGTCAGTTGTTTAGTTATCTAAAGATGGACTCAGATGCTCAAGTATAGCTTTCAAGATTAAAAACGTTGGTTACAAGCTTCGGACATGCTTTTTTATTCAAAATTGTGAAAGAAAAGCCACTAATTGTAGTTGTAGAGCAAATTAAGTCCATGTTATTTACTACTGACCTAAGCCTAGCCAGGATTTTACCCATCGTCTACAAACTGCACAAATATTAGAGATAGCATTTTTATTCAGTAGTGATAGCTACGGTGTGGTAGTACCTGCTTCTTATTTGCTTTATAGAAGCTCTAGAGCTTTCATCATGCCTGGTACAATAACTACCTTTTTTGTCAAGAGAAAAGAGTATTTATACTCGTTCATATGTTACATATTACGTTTTCATCTCACTCCCACAGTTTCTTCAATTTGTTATGTGTGAGTCCTTAGAAGCCAATATAAATATAGCCAAGATTTTAGTATGTAAAAGGATGTGAGGTAGAGTACTCAACTCCACCAAAAAAGAGGCGTTTGGTAAAGGAGAATTTTATAGTTTAAAATGAAACAGTGCCAAGGAATGACTAAGAGACAGCATACTGTGTTATTTTGGATTGCAGTATGAGACATTTTATTGTGAATAGTGATTGTTAAGAAATCAGTTGGGAATTGTGCACAGATTCCAGTAATACATGTTCATTGAGGGAGGAAATATAATAACTTACAGTATTTGAGAACTGTTCAACCTTTACGGATAATTCTAAAGAGATGTCATTTCTTGAATGACAAACCTGAAAGTCTAGGGCTTTGCTGTTGCTTAGATTTTGGAGAAATATTTAATGGAAGTTCCATATAATACAGAGTGGATAGCCAAAGCAGTATGTAGAGCCGGGCTTTTGTGCCAGGGTAGCTACATCTATGCTGCTACTATATAATTCACTGTGGTTGGGTTAAATCTTGGAATAATCCAAGGAATTAATCCACTTACTTACGTTAAGAACGTGCAGTCTCATAATTGTGTTGTAACCAAGCGAGGCTATAAAGAAGATTGGTTCTAATTTACAGAGCCCAATTTTAACTTAATCTTTCTTATAAAGAGGGACTGAAATTATTTCATTTTTGCTGGGTATTTCTGGACAGTAGTCTAACCTGTCTGTGATACTCCACCCATGTTCTAATAAGCAGACCTGTGAGAACACAGTTTGGTGTTTGCAAAAAGTACTGTAAAATGTTGCCTCTGCTCAGCTTTGTTGTTACCTCCTCTGAAATGAGATAATATCTCAGCTAAGAAATAGTTTTTACCAAAGATGATCATACTGCACGTACAAGATCTCCTTACTGCTTTAGTTTCCTATAAGTAATGCCATCCTCTTCTCTTTCTTTCAGCAAACACACTGATTTTCATGAGAGTTTCAGTGAAATGTGTTTGCTTTAAAGGATGTGAAAGGGTAGTTTCTTTTAAGTGAAGTAGATCAGACCAGTGATTCTGAACACCAGAAAACTTCTGAACGTCTGTGATAGTGACTGGGCTTCTCTTGGTGCAAGTAGTGTGTGTGTAGGTCTGTACCAGCAAATTTTACCAAAAACTGCCAAAGCTGAATATTTTATAGCGATGTTATGCAGTAAATAACAGCATTATTCTCTACAGAATAATGTAACTAACTAACTGTGTGGCTTTAAGAGTGGATAAGCGGTTTTGTTAGCTTTATAATGCCTTTAGACTTGTTGGCCTTGAGCTAGATCAGCCTATGGCGATCAAAGATAAGGCAGCTAGTGGGAACTAACTGACCAGGCTAGCAGGGATTTCACCTTTGAAGCCTGGAGATGCAGGATCTCTTCATGTGGTGTCTGTAATTAGGCCTGAAAGCTGAACTGCTTTAAATATTCTTTTACTATGCAGTAGTGTCAGAGTTAAATCTAGTCCATCAGGATTACATTTTTCCCACACTTTGATTCAGTACATTTTTCCAATAAATGTATAGTTCTGCTGTCTCTATCACCGGGTAGATCTTAGAACCGTTTCTGCTTTACAAGTGATTAGAGTCCTAGCAATAATTTAATTGCTTATTGCACCTGAGAAAGCACTCACATTCATTGCTGTTAAGTTACATAATTCTGGAGTGTTTCAAGGTTGCTTTGTCCAGGTAGTCTGTCTGCCAGTATTGGCAGGAGAAAAGTAGAAAACAGAGGTGTAAAAATTAAAGGAGCATTTTAAGCGCTAACAAAGCAGATGCAGGTTGATTTCCACTCTCACAACTTTTGCACTGCTGCAGTCTGAAGCATACACTACCAGGGCTGTGGATCAGTTCAGATCCTATATTCTTGGCATAGGACGTGCAAAATAAGCATGGCAATGAATATATATTCTCCGTACTATTTGCGTAACTTAGTGCCTTACTGAAGTGTCACACTTTCCAGTCCAAACAACTGAGGTAGGAACTCACCCAAAATTCAACCCTAATATTGTTAATAGCTACAGCCTAGGCCAAATAAAAGCATCCTTTCCTCGTAAAAGGAGAGAAAACCTTGCTGCAGAAAGATGGCACAAAAGGCTTAGAAGGCTACCGCTGGATCAAGGCACCTGCAGGTGACAGGAGCACTCCCCGCAGCTAAGCTGCCTCTGCCTGTGGTGCCACCCTGGAGCCCCAGGACTGCAGCGTTGAATCGCACTGCGGAGACATCGGGGCTGCCTAAATGCAAGGTGCCTTTGATGTGATGCAGTGCTAGACTAAAGCACCGCTCCAACAAAGGGCTACTAAGATGATTAAGGGACTAGAGCTTCCCTTATATGAGGAAAGGCTGAGAGAGCTGGGCCCGTTCAGTCTAGAGAAGAGAAGACTAAGGGGGATCTTATCAACGTATATAGGTATCTGAAGGGAGGCTGCCAAGAGGATGGGGCCAGACTCTTCTCGGTGGTGCGCAGTGACAGGGCGAGAGGCAACACGGACAAACTGGAACACAGGAAGGTCTAGCTGAAGATATGGAAAAACTTCTTTACTGTGAGGGTGACTAAGCACTAGCACAGGTTGTCCAAAGAGGTTATGGAGTCTCCATCCTTGGAGATCGTCACAGCCACCTGGATGTGGTCCTGGACAGCCTGCTGTAGGTGATTCTCCTTGAGCAGGGGGGTTGGACTGGACCGTACTGTGATTCTGTGATGATCTGCAAAACTGCTGAGACACAGGGCAGGTTAGCTGAGGTATAGTACGAGATTACAGCCAGCTGTGTGTGGGTTTGGCTATCCCTGCCCTGCCCTGTGCATTGGTGGCACGCTCTGGGAGGTCACACGGGGGGATACTGCAGCCACGCCAGGCCGCTCTGCCCTGCTCTGCCGCAGCCCTTTCCTCACGGGGGCCCAGCGCTGTTTTGTGCAGTAAGGCAGGTGACTGCGCGAGCTTCGCAGGTCTTGTGGTCGCAAACCCTGGGACGCCACAGCGGGCTGGGGACAGTACGTATGTCAGCTCTCTTGGTAAGGTGGCAGCTGTGAGCAAACAGCACTGGTGTTGCAGGAACAGTTTGTTCTTCCTAATGCTATATCAATCCCGTACCCTAAGTTGTTTATTCTAGATTTGTGGAGGGAGGCAGATTTTGCCTGTGCTGGTGTCTTTATGTAGCTGCCAGCACTTCTTTAAAAGTAGGGAAAATCAGAAGGGGAGTGCTCTTGAGACTGCAGGCCAAGCTCCCCTGCTTCTGTTTGGAATTTGTGCGGAGAGCGCGGCATGGACGTTTTCACTCCTTTCCAAGGGGCGGTTCTGGCGTGAATATCCTTGTCCATACCACAGGCCTAACACAAACAAGTTTTTCATACAGCGTTAATGAAAATGCCAAGTGTCTCTGTAAGCGTCCCCTGGGGAGGTAAGGACAACAGATCAGATAAATCCTTGGCTGCTTGGAAGTGTTATTTTTACCACTGCAAAGACTCCATGAGCTCAGTGCCTGAAAAACAGGAGCTTTTAATATTAAAATGGGCTTGATTCTGGCTCATAGAGCCAGAGCCATTTGGGGCTGGGAGTGACTCAGTGGGCAGCCGAGCAGCAGCGGCGGTAAGCGCCGTGCCCCCCACGCTGCAGACGCGGGCGCGTGGGTCTGCAGGGAGCACGGGCAGGAGCGGCGCTTAGCCAGAGCTTAAAAAATGGAGCTCATCCTGTACGGTCTCCTCTCCCTTCTCCACCCCCGCCAGCATTAAGTAGTAGTTAGAAACACCCTTTGGGGTGTGCGAAGTGCAGCGTTATTGTCAACCATCATTCTCTGCTGTCAAAAGAGTAGTTCCTTATATCCCCCCTTCATATTTCCCCTGCTCCTTTGGCCCCAGGAAACTTCGGGGTCATTAATTGGCACTAAAATATTTCTAGTCTAAGATAATTTTAAAAAGGGAGGGGAAGGCTTCTTATCCTGTTCTTTCTGTGTATTACTATGAAAAAGATGTGTTGCTGCCTATCTATGGTAGCAGTTTGTTTTCTGCTGAATTTTAGTTTTGTTTTTCTTGGTGTCCTGAGGGCAGTTGTCATAATAAAGAGAGGAATTGCCAGCAGATTGTCTGAGTGCTCTTCGCACACATCATGAAAACATCATCAGGTCTTTGTGTGTCAGGGTGTCGGAGGGAAAGGCACACATGGTGCTTGGCTCAAAGTCCTAGAGCAATGAGCAAATGTGTTTTTATGCACTTAGCCCCTAGCACTGACTAATTGTTATATGTGCCAGCAAGTTCTCTACGCAAACGGTTTGGTCATTACGTTCTGTAATTCTTCTGTGTGTAAAGTCGAATTATGGATCACGGCAGAATGGAGAGTGTCATCAGTTAGGGAGCACCAGTCCCTGCCTGGACGGGGTGCGAGCCTTCAGATTCTGGTTTTGCTCCTGGGAGAAGCTGGTGTTGGCAGGTCTTGGGGCAAGGTGAGAGGGTAGGTACAGGCTCCACCATTGTCATGCTCAGCATTTAAAGCCCCGAGGCCACAACTCTGGCGATCACTCGGCATGAGGATAGGGCTAGTAATGTTGCCAGGATAAAAGCTAGAGAGAGCACATCTTCTTTTTCATCCAGCCAAACTGTGCTAGCCATGTCTCCTACGGGAGACCCGTTTGTGGGCGGAGAGCAGGACGACTCTGGGCAGCGTGCTAGCCTCCCTCCTCTCCCCCCGTTGACAGTCCCTGGGAAGCACATAAAACCCCGTTCCTATACACCTTTGGTAGCACATGGACCATGACGTGGGAAAAGATGCTTCCCTTTGGCTTGGAAGTCCTTAAATGGATGACTTGCCTTTGAAATTTTTTACTCGACTTCCAGAGTAAAACTTTAGACTGGGTGGCGAGGAACATCTGCAGCTTATTCTTGCTCTGATTAAATCTTAACTTTTATGTAACAGGACATCTTGTAAGTCACTAATAGGATGCACACACCAGTTCTACGAAGTAAGTTGTACTTGCTTGAATTCTTGCGCGTACAGGGCTTTGTATGTCCAGTGCAGTGTACTGAAATTGTGAACGGCACGTAAATTACATTTATTTTTAGGGCTCTTTGCATTGTCAGAAGAGTATAAAAATCATCTCGGCATCAATAAGAATATGACCTGACACATAAAGCATTGCAATGTTACATCTCAGCTCTAATAGTAAGAGAATGCATTTTTCATTCTTTTGTAGGCTGCTTTTGGTTTCAGTGACGTTGTTATCTATTTATTCAATATATCTCCTGTTGGTGTGTTCAAAGGAAACAGGTAATTTAAAATGTTATTATACTATTTCAGTACAACTGTAAAGAACAAGAGGTGAAAAGTAGTCAGAATCAGGCCAGGGGCTTTGTGAAAGATGGGTTGCTTTGCTGACATAACAGAAAGACCTAACACTTTTTCAGTCAGAAGCCCAGAATTAAAAAGAATTTTTGCCATGGCAATGGAGAGCAGCATCTAACCATCATTACAAAGAGAAAAATGTATGAAAAAGAGTGAATTCTGCTATAGTGAAATTCCGCTTTCAGAAGGAACATCTCAAACAGTTTCTCTGCATTACAAAGCCAATTTCAAATGGATTTTAGTGAATCTTTGTTTATAGTGAAGCTTACTTGGAAATGCATTTTGTCATTAATCGGTAGTGGTGAAATTTCTGGTAGCCTTGGTGGTGTAGTGGGAGCTTTCCTAGAAGAAGGTAAAAGGGAACAGTTGCTACACCAAGAGAATTGTATCTCCAAGCAAAATATATTTCTAAACACAGAAATTAGAGATTATCCATACAGTGTTAAATGATTTCGTATTCTGAAGTCCAACAGTCTCTTTCCTTAGGGAATAATCTCTGAAGCCAGTTTTTGAAAATTGTGTGTGCACAGGAACATTGTCGTATTTAAATATTTAATTTGGACATACATGAGTTACTGTTATAGTGTGTATAATGACAGCAACTGCCTATTTCAATTAGGTGCCTGCCTAATTGTGCACACATTTGTGCTCTGTTAATTCTCAAAATATAAGCCCTGGTTTCTATGCTGCTGGAGATGACATTACATTTAAGCTCAAACTTAGTGTTTATACAAGTTTCAAAGAAGAATTGTCAGCTATAAGGAAGGGTAGGGAAATCCAAACAGTGAGATAAATTTTTAAAATAGCCTGTTGAGTGTAACATCTGCAATATTTCTCTCTCCGTTCTTGTGTATCTCACCCTCTTCACAATGTTCACAGCTGATGGAAGAACATTTAACAGAAACACAATGTAATTAATAGAGGAGCTTCTTGAGCTTGACAAATTTTAAAAGTGAAGTTTTAGTTATAGTTTACGCTTTTCCCTGCTTTTACCAAAAACATAGCACATTGAGAATTCAGAAGTTAATGCTTCAGCATTAAAAACTGTAAATCAACACATAAACCAGTGGCTGCCTTCATTTAAGTTGTTTAGTTAAACCAAGCAAAATTACAGCATTGTGGGTCTGTGTCTTTTTAACTTGGCTGCCAGTGCTGAATTGTGAATCCTGCTGGGCTGAATTTTGTCAGGAGAGAAGACTTTCTACCTCACTGTCCTTGAGGGTGCAAACCTAATATGCCAGAATGGGGACACCAGTACTTCAAATGTCACAAGAGGTACAGATGGATTCATTAAAGGGGCATAATAGCCTCCTTAAGAGCTTAAATTTCAAAAGTGATTGGTAGCGAAACATAACATTTATAGATGTCAAGAAAACATTCCCATATAAGTTTAAGCCCTTCTAGTTACACGAGAAAGCTCTATTTATTTGGAAAGGGCACAAGATATATAATTGCACAGATGAATGGTTAGCTGAAAAGGAATCATTGTTTTTTTCATTCGAGAGCTTTTGTTGATATATTAATTATTCGTCTCCCCGTTCCTTTTAACACAGGCTGCATGGTATATGAAAAGCTTGGTGAGCAGGTCTTTGGTACCCCAGGAAAAATGATTATTTTTGGATCTACATCTCTTCAGAATGTTGGAGGTAAAAAAGATGAGGGGTATTTAAAAAAAAAGAAAAAGAAAAAGAAAAGACAAAACCCAGGGACATCTTAGTAGTGGATTCATTTATGGTTACCAGCCAGTCAGATTCCTCATTCTCTTGGTGGTGTCTTAGGATTTTCTAGCTCCTTCATATGGCTCTAGCTACTATTTTGCATTCAGTCTTTTTAAAATGATATATTACTGTTTGATGAGTAGTTTACAGTCAATTACAGTTCTGTGTCTTCTATCATTAAGAGGCTGACATGGGGAAAGGTTCAGGATGCTTCTCTGTGCATATTCCACAAAAGGTCATGTCCATTTTCTAAAATGACTTTCTTCTTCCTCCAGCAATGTTGAGCTATCTCTTCATAGTCAAAAACGAGTTGCCTTCTGCCATAAAGTTTCTAATGGGAAAAGAAGAATCCTTTTCGTAAGTTTAATTCATTTTGGTGATTTGATTTTAGAATTTAACTTTGTGTCGATAAGCTTAAGCATGTGTTTATAGAAGCTCTTAAGTGTTGGATGTTCTCTGTGCTTGTCCACAAGAGATTTTCACAGGAATATCTCCATGGGTTAATAGAAAATAAGACAGCTTTGGGAAGGAAGGAAGGAGGGAAGGGAAATAAAAGTTCAAGTCATCAGTAGTCACTGCCTGTAAACACCAGATTTTCCTTTAAAATTAGAATTTATAAAAATTCACATCATGGGACCCAATCTGGTACAGTGCTAGGCAGCACTTGAAGATACTGAACATATTCAGCACCCATTGGGAACAACCCAAGTTTAAGATATTAAATATTTCCCCACATTCTTAGCATTTTATAGGATTTTGCCCCTGAAGCACAGTCCACAGTACAAAATTCTTCAATACTCATCATACATGACAATAGCAGAATATTATACTTAGATTTCTGCCACTTATTACTCCTTGACGTTTACCAGCATCTTTAACAGAGGAACAGTACTTCTTTGTAGTATTAAATGTCCTTTGCACTGGATTTTGTCATGTGTTATCATGCAGCAGAAAAAAACAGAAAACCCATTCCTCAGGTTTTCATACAAAATTGAACAGAACAGTTACTAGTGCTGTCCGTTTTCCCCTTTCCTGCTTTGCAGCAGGACAAGGTTTGAAGCCCTTAGCTGGAAGACGCAGCCCGTGGCTGGGTAGCACGTGACAGCCCGCAGCAGCCCGGTTGGCAGCTCAGGCATGTGCCCAGGCGGTACAGCAAACAGACTGCAGTGGGGCCCCCCCCCACCGTGCTGCACTGTGCTGCAGGTCTGGCCCTTTGCATGATCCTTCCTCGTCCTGGCAGGGTGGCTGATATCAGGTTGCGGTAGATACTGCTCCACCCTGTGGCCCCGGTCACTGATCTCAGTCCTAGGGTAGTATTTTGTCTAGCATCTTTGAAAATCTGCTGTGTCTGAGGCAAAACTGTGGCATGTTTTACGAACTGGATGCTAAATGACTCCAGTACTCTACAAAGATCAGACATGGCCCCAAACTTGCCTTTTGTAGGAGCTTGTAGCGTAAGAAGACCAAAGATCACTCTGTTACTGTAGCAAATAAAGAGTGGCTGATTCAGTATAGGGAAAATCAGAGAGCGTTTTAAGGTGTGTTCATGGGGTTTTTTTTGATGTTTTATACAGGGCATGGTACGTGGATGGAAGGTTTCTTGTTGTCGCTGTGACGTTTGGTATAATCCTCCCTTTATGTCTCCTTAAGAACTTAGGTAAGGTGCAAATGTCATTATGGGAATAAAATAAACAAGTCTGGACATGGTGCCGCTGACAGTCGTACCAACAACTCAAATATAATTAAAAAAGTTTGTGCTCTCCTTGTAATCTGAGCAGCTGCCTGGCCCAGGAATTAGCTGCGTTTTGAGCGTCTTGGAAGAAGTAGGCCTAAATTGTCAATGGGTGCACGCAGTACAGATGAGCTTAATCCGTGTGATTAAAAAAAATTGTAGTTAAAAGGGTGGTTATTTTATGAGGTAACTGTAATCTGGGTGGAAACTGTAAGAATATGTTTACAAATGGTGGGATTGCAAAAATTGCTAATTTTTCTATAAGTGTTACGATTTTCATTGGTCAGGTTAATTGGAGGTATTAGACTTGTAAAGTTACATGCGTACAGAGGATCATATTTTGAGTCCACAGAGTTGCTGATGAGTACACAATGTATTTTTTGAAATAACTTAACAAGTTTTGGCGCTGAACTTATGTTGGGCTCTTTCATTGGAGAAACTAACTCACAGTAACTTCACATTGCTGCATGTCACGGAATTCGGTTTATGTCCCGATGGCAGTTTCCCATTTTCTAGTTTGTTTCAGTTATCATAGCTCTCTTCAAAAGTAAAATTACTCTAGCTGCCATAAAGATGACCTTTAGAAAGATTAGAAAATAATACGTAAGACAAACCGATCAGACAAAGCTCTGATGAGTTTGAAAGCCAGGAGCCTCGTGAGGTGAAAGGTTCCCAAATCAATGACAGACGCTTTTGTGCTGTCCAGAAGCTTGTGATACATGTTAAATAAATTTAAACTTTTCATAAAATAATCAAGAGAAGAAGAAAAAACAGATACGGAGAGTAAAATAGTTATGGATTAGCTTTCTTTTGATTTTCTTTCAGGGTATCTTGGCTATACCAGTGGATTTTCATTAAGCTGCATGGTATTTTTCCTCATAGTGGTAAGTTCATTCAGCTTGCTCTGTTGGCTGGATTAGAGTTGCTTCATAGAATATTCAGAATTTCTCAGACATTTTAATTTTGATTTGCCTATTATTATTATTATTAGCAATTAGCTGTTTTCTGCTCTTCTTCTAGGTTATATACAAGAAGTTTCAAATTTCCTGTTATGAACTGGGGCTAAATGCAACATCACCTATCTTATCAAATAGCTCAGAACATGAGCATATGTGTAAGCCAAAGTATGTTATCTTTAATTCCAAGGTATGTTTCTTTTTATGATACTTATTTTTAATGCACATAATATATGCACTCGCACTCCATGTTTTTAATCAATCAAAAGTATTGGGTAGGGCCTGATTCTGTCATCCTTCCACACGTGCGCTGAAAGCGAATGCACGAACAGTCTCCCTCCCCAGTTTTATGGAAATGCCATGTTGAATTTAATTCCTTGCAGTCTTACTCTGCCTCTCTGTTCCCCAGGAAGCTGAGCTAGAGTGAGCTGCCTTGGTAGTGGATGTGCTAAGGTTGTCAGCCCGAGCTGTCACTGGACAACAAACGTTTTCTTTGGGAGACTTTCCTTTCTGCTGCTTCTTTATATATATGCTACAACTGAGCCTTTAGACTGTAGTTGAGCAGAAACTGTAAGCCATTTTTTGCATCCAAAGCCTAGAAGTAATCCCTCTGTCCTTCTGCACCCAAACCGCTCCTTTGTGACACAGTGTGTTTCTACAGCCATGTGGTCAACTGGGTTGGGAAAAAGATACAGTTGAAAGCTAATTCAGGAAAAGTCTGCTTGCTTTTCAACTGGCTGCTGTCCTCAGTCACTGCACAGCTGCAGAAAACGTGCCAGGGTAGGGGAGAAGGCACGAGAGAGCAAGCGGCTGTAGCTGTGGAAGCAGTAGGATTGCTTCTTTCAGCAGTGCCAGTCTGAAGCGTTCGTTAAACTGCGTCCTTATCGAGTAGGGCAGGGTCCTCTGGGTTTTGCAGATTGCATCTTGGAGAATGCACAGGAATAGTATATGTGTGCAAAAATCATATTTTTTGTACCAGCTTTCAGTTCAAGAAACCTAATCTGAGCACACTTTTTTTTTTTTAAGTTGGGGGGAGCCATCAGCCCAGATGCAGTGTGACTAACTGAGAGTTAGTCAACTTGGTGCGTGCAACATTAGCTTAGGTGTAGATACGTTTTTGATAATTAACCTTGAAGGGCAATCTTGTTCTCCAAAAGTAAACGTTAGTATTTACTTTAGAGTCAAGAGATGCGCTTCAGAAGGCTCAGTCCATCGGAATTAGGCACGCTGGATCCGAGCTCTTGAGATTTACCCTCGGGGCCAACTATTTGCCAGTCATTTTAGCAACTTTGGTGTGTGGCAGGACAGCCGGTTCCCCTGTTGAGGAACGGCATCCTGGGAGAGAAAAGGCAGCCCAGGCCCGGGTGAGGAAGGACCTTTGGAGAACAACCAGTCTGTTTTCTGAGTCTTACAGGACTCGGGTGTACCCTATAAGGCAATCCCAGAACTGCTGCTGTGGAAATGGGATTCCTGTGACCAAGGCAAGGAAATCTCAGGGCACTGGGGAAAGCCGCACACCAGGACTGACTCATTCTATCCTCACAAAAGGACCTGTTTTTCGAGTTATCTCAGCTCCTACCTATTTCTTGGAAAGAATGGAAGTGTTTGAATGCTGAGATCACTTGTAAAGTTTGGCTGTACGCTGACAATTGAAACCCACTGGATTTTTGCTTGAGAAATGGGTGAGGTTCCCCCCAGAGGCCTTCTGCGCTTAACAGTGACGTAACGGTCTCTCTCTTTCCCCAAGGACTGATCATGCTCCCTCCACAGTCCTCCTAGCCCTTTTGTTGGCCTGGGAAATGAAGGGACTGAGTGTGGTACCTTGAATTATCCATTTATTTGTAAGTTCTACATTCCTCTTCTCTTTTCTTACAGTCTGGATATGGGCTTCACCTTCAGGACTTCAGCGTTAGCACCGCTGGTGCAAACCCCACTCCATACCAAGGCAGAGTAGTGTAGCGGTGATCCAACATACATCCCCTTTTACAAGTGACTATATATTAGAAACAAAGGCAGTAACTGGGCAGGGAAACCCATTCCAGGGAACAAAACCAGTAGCCACATGGCATCCACTACTGTGCTCTGAGGACAAAGTCCGACTTGAGTTTGCATGACCAACGTGAAGATTTTGTCCTCCCATTAAAAGAGCACTGTTCTCCGTGTTGTGTTAAATACGTGCTAATCGACAGGTCTTCTGCCTTCCCTGAATAGGGCTCTCAATGTTCAGTTGGAGAGTCCAGAAAGTTGGGAGCTGAGGTAGTTGAAAAACACTGATCATTTCTTTATGCCACTGGGGGAAACATGTATTCTTCTTAACTTTTTTCCTGAAATTCTCTTTGAACAGACTGTGTATGCCTTGCCCACCATTGCTTTTGCTTTTGTGTGCCACCCATCAGTCCTTCCCATCTACAGCGAACTTAAAGAGTAAGCCTCCTTTTTTTTTCAGTCAATTGTTTTGAACTGTTTTGTATGGAAAATGTTAGTGCAGAGATGCTCTGAGTCATTCATGCCATTCAGAAGAGATGTGCTTTACTAAAACCAAACAAGACAAGGAGCATGGCTCTCAACTAGGAAATCTGTATTCCCAGATGTGCTGTTGGGGTGGTGGGTGTGGTTGAGGCTAATGCAATATTTTGGGAGTTTCCTCTGGAAGTACACAGCAGTTTGGGAGAGCCAAGTAGTGTAGATTATTATTTTGCATAGGAGTCGCATGTATTTCAGCTACTGGCGTCTGTTCCAATGTAACTGAAAATCTGTTGCAGTACTGGAAAAATTATTCTCAGCCTTGCCTGTGCTAAAACATCTTTACCAGTATGACTGTCTTAGTGAAACATGGAAGAGACATGGTTTATACCAGCAAAGGGCTTCTTTAGTCAGTCCAACTATATCTGTGCTGGGACTTTGGCCAGACAGACATATTGATCGGTGCTACGACATTTTCAGGCTTCCAATAAAAACAGCTCTGGTAGGAAAAAAAAGAGTGTGACCAGGCCTTTGTCTGTAAACAGTGAGTTTTAAAAGCTGTTAGGGATGGGCTGTGTTGCTGCAAAAGGAAACGATACCTCATGATGTGCCTATCACAAGCAACTTATTCTTGTGTAAGAAAAAGGCCATACATAGGGTGTCCCTTCGAAGGGCGTGAGGATGCCACACGCAGTACCAACGCCTGCTTGCAGCGTGCAGGGCCCTCGAGTGTCGCTCACTGAGCGTGGGAATTGCACGTTACAGTCCCTCCGGTGACCCAGCCCACCTGCTTTCCGGGTCAGCTTTCATTTGCTAGGTGCTTCTCTTTAAATTTGGGCAGCAGCAGCTGCTCCAAGATGCCGCTCTGAGCAGGGGGATGCCTATTCCTTTCCCAAGAGCGTTGTAGTGGGGGTTGTACAGGCTCTTGACCACCCCCTGAGGAAGGCTGTAAAGACTAAGGTCTCCAAGCGAAGAGCGGTGGGGATGCTGCGGCGGGGCTGCAGCCAGCACCGCTGCGGCATCACGGGGCAGCGACCGACGGCCCTGGGCTGGGGGGGCAGCGTGGTGAGGGCTGGGGGTGTCCGCAGGGTGCAGGTGATTTCAGTTTCAGGTGCCTCCAGCGGGTTCTTAGCTGTCTATTTAGGGCGTCTCTGTGTGCACTTAAAAGGCTAAGCATAGCATGAATATTTCAGAAAAAAATATCTAAAAATGAAATGTTTATACTTGACCCATTTTAAAATAGTCTACAGTGGTCTGTATATTTTCATTATTTTCTGCCCATGGGGATACAAAAGTTTTTCTGCAAACATTCAGAATATACTTTTTTCTGTGTATATTTTCCCTCTTCCTTTATTTTGGCCCAATTTAATTTAATTACTGAAGTGTTTACAGGCTGTCCTGTCCACTCTGCTTTACCCTTCATTCATTTTAAAAGGCTAAGGAGACAGCCGCAGGATGGTCACAGTGCTGCTTGGCTCAAGCCCCGAATAAGATCCATTTCACCAGTCTTTCCGTTCCTTGTGCAACTGTCAAAGAATTCCTGTTTTAAATGAAAATACATTCATGATTCTCTCCGGAGTTAATTAATATGTTGATGCAAAGACTTAATACATTTTTGAACAGCTATCCAAATATCGTCCAACCATTTTATGTGTTTTTTTTATTCTTTCTCCAGCCGTTCACAGAAAAAAATGCAGTTGGTTTCAAATATCTCATTTTTTGCCATGTTTGTGATGTACTTTATGACTGCCATATTTGGCTATATGACTTTCTATGGTAAGTAAACAGCTTTTGCTCATCAAAGTAGAAAGGGAATGTATGTGAAATCAATAACATTATCGCAGCTGGAAAAGGAAAATCCCATTCACTTATATTGAAATACTTTTTCAAATAATTTTCCTTCACGTTTTCATATTGAAGGTACAAATCGTTTGCGCTCTTCCCTCTGTGGATGAAAAGTGCAAGTGAAGGTATTATTTACAAAAGGCATATTCAAAATGTGAGCAAGAGATTTGTCTAAAGGAACTGGGGATTAGCTGGGCCCTATTAAGTTTTCTGTTTCAGGGCCATTACCTGAATTTTGTGCACATTAGTTATAATTTATATGTGACTAGTTCTGCGTATCTATATAAAATGAGACTGATTTGAGACTAGGTCCTGGGAAATGAGTATCAAATCAGCCATCATAGCTCTTTGATTTTCTTACTGACGCTGTCATCATAGAAATAAAGGACCAGAAGTTTTCCCTGTGACCCTAGAGTCGGTCCCTTCAGCTCTTGGTTCAATAAATTGGTAGGGTAGCTAGGGAAGTGTAGAGTGTTGTCCCAGCTCAGCAGCCGAAGGATGGTTGTTTCAGTGTCTGAGACTTGAACCATGTCTCTTGTCATAAATATTAATTCACTTAAAAAAGCAAACAAATTACATTGTATCCCTGTCAAGTGAAGTCGGATAAAATATGACTGTTGCCCAGGAAGCTACTCCGATTTCCCAGTATAATGGAAATCTTGAAATGTGGTTTGGTTGTTCATGGTGGACCATTAAGGGCAAGGCAGACTACAAAACTGGCCCTTGTCAAAAGACCTCAGAATCACCCAAAGGTCATCAGTCTTATTCACTGTATTCAAAGTAATTTTTTAGTTACAGCCTCCACATTCATGATAGCATTCATTGACAGCTACATGTTGCAAGGGAGAATAAATAAATACGAAATTTGGCATTTTTTTCAAAGGTGTCCCTGTCTCGTAGTTTGTTTTCTTAAGCTGTCGTTCTGATTATGAGACTTGGGTCTGCATGCATTAAAATAATTTGAGATCATCTGTTCTGATTTTCCCAACAAAAGTGATGGAAGGGAGTGTACATATACTACAAGTGACAACAGCGACAGCTGTTCTCATCCAACACCTGGGTGTCAGGTGCTGCTGTCTCATGCATCTTCATAGAAATGCATCAAACGTATTAAAATTAAAGGTCCAATTAGTAGCCCCAGGGAGCAAGTGGGTGTAAATCAGTATGAACCCATTCACTTTAGCAGGGGGGAGATTCTGATGCGATTGCCCCAGGGATCTGAGGAAACAGATCCAAAAAGCTCACCTCCGGGAATCTCCCGCACCCCTCAGGGGCCAGGGCCTGGAGTCCATGGAGGTGGGGCTGCCTCTTTCTTGTTCTCCCAAAAGGGGATGAGAGAGTCATTTCCTAGTATGTCTTGTGTCCCTCTCCTCAGATCAGATATTCATGCTCCTGAATACTGAGAGCATGTGGATGGAAGCTGGGTGCCTTCATATGGCTCCACTGGGCTTGCACAAACATTAACAGTTGCTGAATCAGTGCCCTGAGAGACAGCAAAAAAGAAACCAAGGGAAAAATGAAATTCCTCCGCTTTTATCCTTCTTACCAGTGAGATATCCTTCTTACCCTTGATATCATTCATATGTTCACTTAGAGTTTTCTAACTCTTTCCTCTACCCTTACCTGGGTAAGAACAGCATTTTTATTTTGGCCATTTCTTTTTTACAGCAATGCTACTTGTCTGTTTGCTATGTTCTCGAAAGTGTTACAGTTATAACTATATTTATATTGCAGATTTACAGAAAAGAGGTGGGTTTTTTTCCCCTTAAAAGGTCACTGTGGTTGGGCTCTGCGGTGTATCTAGCTGACAGGAAAACAGACCTTCAGCTCAAAGCCTTGCCTTTCACTTCCTACCTGGCTGCAGTCTGTGAGTGGTAGCGAAGCTGCAGCCTGTGCTTGCAGGAGCAGAGTAAGATCTGTGTCACAGAAGCTGTGTATGTGCTTGGCTTGAAAAATCCCACTCCTAATCTGCAGGGAGGTGGGAAAGCATTTTCTTTCTCCTGGTGGGAATTCAACACTGTTGACACATGATCTCTCCCTGGAAGGGCTTCCTGTGGGGAATTTTGCTGCAGAACACTTCTCCCTCCCTTCAGAAATACACAAGATTTTGCCATATGTCGAAGATTTTAAATTGCATGTGCCCATGAAGTTCCCTTTAGGGACTTTGGTTTCAGAGCTATTACGTTTTACTATCAGCTTTCTAAGATTAGCAGGCAACAACAAAGCATGAGCTTTTCTAAAAAGTGGCAGTGAGCGTGCTTTTGTGGTAGGCTGCACAGCTGCTTCCTTAGGTTGTTGTTACTAGATATCTTAAAGATGCAAGACGCATGCGTAGATCTCACTGCAACTTGTTTTTCCTGTTGGTTAGTGCGTGCAGACCAACTCTGCAGTACTTATCACAGCTTAAAGAAAACATTTTTGCAGGAGGTCTTGTTTAAATATTGTCAGTGGCCTCCACATTAGGCACCCACAGCGATTTGTCTTGGCTGCATTCAGAGCAGGAGTGCATGCGGGGCAGCTGGCCAGCGTGGGGCCGAGCTAAAAGCACTACTGAGGAGGGAGGGCAGGCTCAAGAGAAAAAAATAGAAGGGCATCCCTCCGAGGAGCTGCAGAAGGATTTGAGTACAAATGTCAAAATGTCCTGCTGAGAGTTGACCTAAGATACACTTTGTTCTTAGTTGAGAACAGAAGCACTGCTTTTTGCTGGAAGTTTATTTGCTGTTTATACTAATTTAGCTCACCCTTGTCTTTTGTATTAAATTCAGCCATTGCAGTGCACATGGTTATTTTTATGTCATTTGAAACTTTTTTTTAAAAGCCCACTTTAGAACCCAGTTAGAAAACTCCAACTGGAAATAGCTTCTTTTCACTTTACTTATTTTTTGTATATTTAAGCAAATTTTGATGTATGTCTCACTGTTGTCTTTCCTATAGTGAAAATTACCTTAAACTTAGACATGTACTTTCTTGACTGAGGATGCATTCCTAAATCAGGCCTCCAAAGGATTAATCTGGGATAATGGGGTCATTCGGATTTGGCTCAAAGTGCTGTTTTACCTCAAGAATATTTCATTCCATACTCTTTTGTGTGCAGATAAATCACTCGTTGTTCAAGAAGGCCATTGTTAAACGATGGTTTCTGTGAATTAATTGCCTGTTTGCTAAGACACTTATCTTATTGTCTTTTCCATAGACAGTGTGCAGTCAGATCTGCTTCACAATTACCATAGTAAAGATGACATCCTTATCCTGACAGTGCGTTTAGCTGTAATTGTTGCAGTGATACTCACAGTGCCAGTGCTGTTTTTCACTGTAAGTAATAATCTCTACACAACTTCGAAACAGGTAATGTCTGTACACAGTGCATTTTTTCAAAACACAGCTCAGCAGTTTCTGAATCAGTGAAGCTGCAAATACAGAAAGAACTTGAGCTTATATCAGTATTTTCCCACACCACACTCTCACTAACTTCTGGAAGAGTTCTCCCTGCCAGAAATAAATCAATCACTTTTGGTCTTAAATCTGTTTTAAATTGAATCCGCAAGGGCCCTCTCTTATTTCTGCTAGGCGCAGGCTCAGAGGTGAAATTCATTTTTAAGTGCAGAAGAATCACAAAAGGCACGACAAAGAGAAATATCCTGCTGCATGTACACCTGCAGTTTTGAAATATCAAACGAATTGCAAAGATTATTTCAAGGGGCATTACACAAAAGACCCCAGAATTTCTGTTGATTCTATGGGGAGCTCGTTGTCACGAGAAGAATCAGTAAGAAAAAACACGAGAAGTTTTGAATTGGCTTTTAGACTATTCCTGACAAAGAACTTTCTTTCTTCCTGCAGGTGCGTTCATCATTATTTGAGCTGGCTAAAAAAAAAAAATTTGACCTATGCTGTCATGTTTTGGTTACTTTTGTTCTTTTGGTTATCATCAACCTGTTAGTCATTTTCATCCCAACCATGGAGGATATTTTCGGAGTTGTAGGTATGGTATCCTGGTTTTGTACTACTAAAAAGATGTTACTAATTAGCGATATAAGAATTAGCTGTTGTTGACAACTAACAAAACTCATTTATTTCAATTTTGCAGGGGTTACTTCTGCCAATATGCTGATTTTCATTCTTCCTTCATCTTTGTATTTAAAAATTACACATCAGGATGGAGCAAAATTGACTCAGAGGATTTGGGTAGGTGTTTATTTCCAGTCAGTGCAATGCTTTTATTTTGTCCTTCCTTAAAATGTGCTAGTATTGAAAGCAGATCTGATTTGGCTATCTGAACGTATTTGTGAACTTCTTTTTGTTACTTTCCCTTCTTGCTTCAGTCAGTTGTCATCCTCGCTTGTCCTTTTTCTTCACCTACCTTGTGAGCCTTCCAGTGTTGGGTCCTTACCGTGCAGAACCGCTTTTGTTCCCTGGGTTCTCCTCTACTGAGGAACTCGGCCCCAGCTGGGGAGCTACAGCTTTGCAAACAGCAGTAGCTGGAGGCAGGGTACCCTTCTAGTACCATTTGGCAGCCCTTTCAGCAAGACAAGCACTCTCCATTTCAATGCATGGAGCATTCTGTTTGCAGTGTTTCTTGCTCTGTTTTAGGGGACCTGAATCCAGTTTAGGGTGCTTCCATCAGAATAAGCCAGCTGAAATGTTAACCCTTAACATGCATAAGCGTATAGGACAGAGCCTTGAGAAGATTTTCCATGAGGCCAAGAAAAAGTTTCAGCTGAAAAGAGACAACACTCATGTACAATCCCACTCTAAAATTTAGCAAATACTGTGTTGTATCAGAGAGAGCTTTTGCCAGTTTTCCATTTTGAGAGGAATCATTGTAAATTCCATATAGCTTCTGTGGGACGGCTGGGTGCACTATGAGCATTCTGCAGTCAGTCCTTTCTGCTCTGAAGAGACAGGCAGGAAACCCATGTTCCGCTTTTGGCTATATCCACAGACTCCAAGATGAAAGGGCTGAACTTTCATAGACACGTACCCAATGGGGAAAGCCACTTCCATGTGGCTTTGAAAGGAGTAGAGCTAATGAGTCCTAAAAACAGGCTCGCTTAGTCCTCTTCAGCGATAATCAGCATTTAAGAAGTGAATTGGAAATAGAAAACATTGGTTTTGGTGTTCAGCGAATAATTATTAATGACACTAGTCTGTTTAGTTATCTATAGGTCTTATCTTTACCAAAAGTGCTATTCCGTTTTCACTGATCACTTTGATACATCACCGTGTAAATCTCCTTAAGAAGAAGAAAAGTTACCATATTTCAATTAATTGTTCATTAATTTGCCTTTCTTTTTGTTCCAGGCTTCTCTTTTCTTGGCACTGGGGATAATGTTTTCCCTAGTGAGCATTCCTTTGGTCATCTACAATTGGGTACAGTAGTGCCGAAAGCCACTAAAAGCTAACCTCGTTATGAAAAGGAGACATCCCTGTTTGCTACACACCAAAATCGCAACCATCCGTTCTGTTATCTATTCCATCTTTTGTGAGTTTACTCAAATCAAATCCAAATAATGACTATCCAGTTCTGAAAATACTGTTGTGGATGCATTTGCTTGCAGTAAACAGACCCATTTTTCGAACAGACATATCACCCTGTCCCATGATACCGAGTTATCAGATCAGCGTTAGGTCTGTGTTAATTGTCTGTGAGACAATTATAGATAGAGCGTTGCTCATAGGAATTCATCATAATTAATTTGTTTTTCCTCTTCCACCCCTGAATTGCATTGTTCCGTTATTATTCTTAGCCCTTAAACCATAAGCTCTGCTCCTTTAGAGCAAGCAGTATTTGTTGTTATCAGTCCAGACTGGAGTAATTGTTCCAAATGTTGTCAGTTCACACCCTTCCACTCGCCTTTTAACCAAAATTCTACTCTTAAATTGTATGCATTTGGTTTGTTTGTTTGTTTTGTTTTGTTATTGTTTTGTATACCATTTGCCTCACCGAGTAAGTGTAGCATTCTGGATGTGAATGTGAAAAGCACCATGAGAGCGTAAATTAGCAATGTATAAATGTAGGTCCTAAATATGGTGCTCGTCTTTAAAACATTGTGATGGAATAAGCCAGTCACAGGACTTGGCTGTTTTGTCACTTTGGGGATGGGTGTGTGTGGGTGTGTGGGTGTGTGTGTGTGTGTGGCGTGCCTTTGTGTGTGTGTGTTTTTATGAAGGGGTGCAGGGAGCAGAAGGAAGATCATCACCAGCTACCATTTCCCTGGTATATTTCAGTTTGAAACTGACCAGAAATAGACTTCACTGAAAGCAAAGAGTACTTGAGAGTGAAGAAAAGCAGATATTTCAAGATTTCCATAGGAAATCTGCATTTTCTTCAGCATTAACCTGTTTACTAATGCCCCACTCTTTTCAGGAAAAAAATGGCAAGGTCCAGTTTTTTTGAAACCTACAGATTTAATCATACTTTATGCCTTTTGCATTCTGGCATTCATGTGTACATACCCAAGGCTGACCTTGTAAAGACTGGCTCCTCTCCTATGTCCTATCCTCCTTCCATTGAAGTCAGCAGGATTTTTGACAGCAGTGGGAGCAGGATTTGACTCACCCTGCTGGATTTCTAATGGAAAATGAAATCTTTAGCACTTCTTTAAACAAACATAAACACTTTCTATTTTTAAAATGTTTCATTTACATTTCTCATCCCTTAATTCTCCATAACAATTAAAGACAAGATATTAAATTACTACTAGCAGAAACACTGTAACTTGCATCTGTTGTCCACAAAATAAGCATTTGCCTAATGCCTTATAGCTGGTGTAGAGAACTACTTACAGAGATTCAGATGCTAAGCAGGTGATTGTTAACCATCTTAAGCAGACAACTTCTATTAGTGCACTGCCAGCTACATAAACGTGTTCGCTTTGCATCATTTACTGTGTGGGTTAAAAAGTGTCTTGAGTTTTACTCTCAAAGTATGAACCCGGCTCCTGTTGAAAGAACTAGTGGCTAAAGAGAGCCCTGGTTCACGTTCAAGGGCTAAGTAATGCCCTCTCTGCATTCACGATGTATCTGTCAGTATGCAGTGACTCTCTTGTTCCCAGTAGCTGATTCATTTTCAACTCCCATTGTAACTATGGAAGGAGACCATCATTAGCAGTGCTGTCTGTGGGTATTATATGTCATTGCAACTTCTTCTTTTTAAGGTTAGGGATGGAGAATTCAAGATCTTGGGATTTCTGTGAGCTATTGAATTGCCTCAGTTTCCATTGCATTATCCTACATTGCTTGAAGTCACTGAGAGTTGAGAGCACAGGGCACCTCTAAGGACCTTTAAAGTTGATTTCTAAGGGTAACATCCAGAGAGGTTAGAGGCCTTCGTTGGAATTTAGTTGGAAAAGGTTAGTTAGAAAGTTCACGCTGCAAAAACTAAACTTACTAAACTTAGGCTTCTAGATCTGTATCTCAGTCTAGACATTAAGGTACTTAGCTCCTGCCGATACTCCTCTGTGATCCAGAAATAAGAGCAGCCGGATCCAGACGTGTGCCTAAAACATATATATAGTGCAGTATATATATATAGTGCACATATATATAGTGGCAGTGCTGAATCCAGCACAGATGCCTAGCGTCTGAGTTCTTTTGATTCAAAAACAAAGCAAGGGAGAAAGCCACCTTTCTGAATAATAAGCTAGCTAGGACAGTACTCCTCCTGGGAATGAGAGAGGTGGGTTTTATGTCCACCTCAGCCTGTAGAGAGGCAAACTCTCATTTCAACAGTAAGTCATACAAACTAGCCAACTGGACAAGGGACTAACAAAATGAGTGATGGGTACGGGTTTAAGCTTCCTCATAAATTTTAACTTACATAGTTACTGGCTTTAAAGGAAGAAGAAGAAAAAATCAACCCTTGTCTATAAGGAAGATCAAAACTAGAAGTCTCTTCCCTTTTAACAAAATGGCCTTTTGGACTACAGAGTCAGGTTTTCTTTAGTCTTTTCTCCTTCTGATCCATTAAACTTCCATTCCTTGCTGCACAGGGTCCCAGCAAGGTCACAAGTGTGACATCCTTCCCCCAAGGTATTCTTAATCTAGCATTTGAAATACTAACCGCTGAGTTATGTGGGACCCTGAGGCTGAGTCAGGTTGAGAATCCAGGAGCTTGTACTTTCCAGCAGGGAAGGTCTCATACCCTTGTCAGCGATGGCATGGGTCACCAGTTCTCTCTGTACCTTTTCTGA